CACAGAGCAAATGCCTTATTTGTAATGAGTGTGGATACTGTTTAGGATTGTCATCTTGAACCAAAGTGGACATTAGATGAGATGTGCCATGATCGGATTATGTATGTATTTTTGCTACAAGCATCTTTGTGATGCTGCGTTTCTCTGTTCTTCTGCCTGTGTGAGGCACACCTTTAAGGCTACATGGTTTAGCTCATTCTAAATCTCATCTGAGTTCAGATGTCAGATCAAAGTCGCACAGCAGCTGCCCCAATGAGTTGTCACACCATTATCAGTTCATCCTCTCAACTGAGGAGAAGATAAAAAACATGAACACAAGCTTACAACAGTGAAAAATGTCCTGACTATCTAAAACGGATGAAGAGCTGCTGAAGAAGGCTGTGTGTATTTGAAGGCATGCAAAAGCTAAAAATGTTTGATGTCTCTGCAGGTTCTGGGGGACCTCAGAGCAGACAACCAGAGGCTCAAGGATGAGAACGCCGCCCTCATTCGAGTCATCAGCAAACTCTCAAGATGAACCTAAAAACCGTACATGGAGATAAAAGTATTACATTCTTCTTTTGCCCAAGCCAGAAGACACAAACCGGGAAGGGAGACGGCAGCATCAAACACCTGCACAGCACATTCAACAGTAACTGGAACAACATATAGATTTCAGGGTTATTAGCCTGTGTTTGGGCCTTTATGTTTTGGCAGATCTACTGTATAACAAGCTGAACTGCACCTCCTGTGGACTGACGGGACGTTCCTGTTCACATCCACTTTTATATTACGTTTTTATTGTCGTTATTTTTTTAACTGGAATATTTTAATGTGCTTTGCTTCTCTGATACTTTGTATAAAATGTGTTAAGAGGCTTAAAGCCATGCACAGTGCGAGCTCACAGTAATGTTTTAGATAGCTTTCTTGACCTCTGAAGGGTTGGAGACATAAAAACAGTCAGGTGTAGGGGGTGGTTACTAGAAAAAGACAAAAAAAAAAGACTTAAATGTGCCAAAAAACCAGCCCCAGTTTTGCATGTCCGTTGGGGAAAACTCCAGTGGTCAGTGTTCTCAGGATGAGTCTTGGGTCGATGCTTTCTGTTTTGGCTGACTGCTGTAAAGATGGACCAAATTTGCTTGCTCATTTCTCCCTGCTCCTCTGAATGTATATTTAATATGTATATTTATGTACAGGGGCCATCTGTCCTGACAGTGATGATGTAAAGGTGTAGTCGTGGTCTCTGTTGTAAAAAGGACGCAGAGTTTTGGGTGCTAATCATGGACGTCAGATGCAGCTCATGTTCAGAGGGATTTTTACAGAAAACTGTTTGTTACAAACGTCAGATCTTTCAAGAGGTTTCGGAGAACGCATGCTCTATCCTTAGTACTGTAAGTCAGTAGTAATTTCACTTTGCCATTTTGACTGGACGCTTTTGAAAGCAACGACCCGTAAGCTAAGTATTCACCCTGTGACGGACGGCTGTTATTCAACAGACAGGCCAGATGGGTCAACTTTTGAATGTTTACTCCAATTTTAAAGAAAAAACCTGCATGTCAAATTGTATTTTGATGCTGTGCCTTTCAATATACATTTCTAAGTGATATTTCTATTTTGCTTTGGTAAATGTACACTGTTAAGTATAAAATACAGTATGGGCATAAATTATTAAGGCTCTGTTCTCTGTCCATCATCTTTCACTGTTTAACTGAAAAAGGTACATACTGTCGTTTGAGGAAAAAAGTCAAACTATAATTAATAACTAACTATAGCTGCAGATGTTAGCTTATTGGAGATATATCATAATGGTGAATATGTAGGCCAATAAGTAACAAGAAATTGTTTCACAGAAGAAAAAAAAATGCTTTTGAGGTAATTAAGAAAATATGTTGCCATTACACAGTCTGTCCGCCAGCGAGCTCTAGGTTTATGTTTCCAGTGTAAAGTGTCCACTCTGTACATATCTTCATGCCAATTCTTGGAAGAAAAAAACATTTTTATAATTTAAAGGTGCTGTAAGTGAAATCAGTATTCTGACTAATGTCGGGTCCCTTCCTGCAGTTAGCAGGTCCCTCCCTCCTCCACACCTCACGATTGCCTGCTCTTAAGGACCGCCTCTTTGTGGAGTTCTCTCTCCTGATTGGATGAAATGTTAACAAGAGACCAGAAATTGTATTCTCTGTTTACTGCAGAAAGGAGGCAGACCCATGTTACTAACTGAACACTATCAGTGATACAGCACCTTTAAGGTATTTGCTACAATATTCCTCAAATACTGTTAGCTGTTAAGTTAGCTGTTGTAACCGTTAGCATTAAAGTCCTGTGTTGGTCAGGGGCTGGGCATTGAACCACCAACCCGCTCTACCTTCTGAACTACAGCCACCTGCAGTTGAGTGTTTTATGTGGTTCAGACTGGTCTAACTGACATCAGTCATTCACACATACAGTATGGTTATTAAAGCTCAAGCCAGACATCTCAAACAGTTTCAGTATTTGACTCCAACAGGGTCTTAAAAAGTCTAAATTTTAGATTTTAGGCCTTTAGATAATTGAAAATGTCTTGCATATGATTTTGACAGGTCTTAGAAATTAATGTTGAATTTTTCAGTCTCAATTTTAATTGTGTTTTTGGTAATCATTTGTGTTGGTCATGCTGCAACAACTACAAAACAAGTGACATTGAACCAATACTGATTTTTTGCCAGTATTGACACTAAAATAGGTCTTAAATTGCATTCATAATGGTCTTAAAAAGTTAACCCGTTGAAACCTGCAGAAACTCTGCTCTAGATAAAGAGTTTCCATATCAAATATGTCTCAGCTTTTGTGGCAATTTACCATTTAAGAATATTTAAAATAGAAACAGAATTACTTGAGTTAAAACAAGTAATTTTCTGTTCCTGAATGACTAAGAAAAAGCTTTGATACATTAAGTAAACTACCAATGTGAAATAGGAGGGACATCCCGACTCCCTAATTGCCTAGTATGGGTTGAGTGCCAAAAAAACCCTACATTTCCCATGATGCAACATAATAGCATTTTTCTCCCGGTCTTATAAATGACCACATCTTTCAAGCTGAGGACATTTTCTCAGACAAAGCTGCTCCAGTGCCGCAGTAAACATTATGTAACGGTTTTCACAAGCAGAGTAGAGCCGAACTTGGTGTCTTTATTAACACAGCTAACTATGGGACTGCTACAGTGTTTGTCCAGCTACAAGCAGTACTACTTATTTGCAAAACACCATATTCGAGGCCAAGTTGAGCAAAATCTTTATTGACCGAGAAGAGCAATCACAAATGATGATAGAATATACAACCCCACCAGCATGCCAGCGTTTTCATAGAAACTGTACAATGTGAAGGAATGTATGGAGCAGGAATACATAATTATCATCAGAAGAAACAAAAAAAAAAAAGAAAAAAGGTTTTACATCCATGTGTTCTGGTACAGTACAAGTCGATTTCAATTTAATGTTGCTGGTCGGTCCTGTTTTAAAACCCTCCTCCTCTCTCATTAAATATAACATACAATACCGAGCATGTGTTTCTCTGGTAGTGTCACCTGACCCCTTCCTTTTACTGCTTTCTTTCTGAGAGGGTCAATGGGTTAAAAAAAAAAAAAAAAGGTCAGTTTTCTCTTTTCTCTACCAGCGTCTGTCTGCGGCTGAGACCAGACACCGCCGAGGTCTCCGGCGGCAGCAGCAGACGGTGCCTGGCTCTGCCTCCTCCTGTGCTGTCTCTGGTACTACTCCTGGGGTCTCCTTACTGCAGGCTACTGGCTGTGAAGCAATCTGAATGAGCGAGGGGGCAGAGCGCGCGCGGGGGGGCGGGGGGGGCTTTGTAGGGGGAACGATGTACATTAAGGCAAAAGGGGAACGACAAATAAAGAAGCTAAATTAGAAATGTTTGTTTTTCTCCACACGATCATAGTTAGTGCTAAGGCCTCATGGCTAAAAGATTCATCAATACTGATTTTCACTGGGTTTGGCATCTTTCTCCAATTCTTGACATTCAGTCTCCTCCAATTACAAGGGAACTTCATTTTGGGGGCGGTGAGCGTGTGCAGAGCTGGATCTGAGTAACCTGTATAAACAGTCTCTACTACAACAGGGCTACAGATGGTTATTAGTTGGTAGCGAGAGTAAGCCCTTCGTACACAGACTACCTGACAGCAAGCACTGCTCGTACACACAAGGCATGCTAAATACACATTAACTGGTTTAGACATTAGTTGATACGTAAGGCAGCTTTTTTTGTTTGTTTACCCTTATTGTTTTTACTCCCTCGTACACTTTGGCCCCAGTCCCCATCTGAAGGGGAGTGGGTGAATACATTTAGGGAGGGGAGGGAGGTGCGTAGAGCAGATCTGAATGAATTGTTTTTCCAAGGCAGATATTGGTAATTATATCAAAAGACAGCAAGCAAGTAAGTAGGCAAGCAAAGGAATGCTGTAGCTAGTATGGGCGAGGCTTGGGGGGGGAGGGGCAGGTGGATGTGGTGGGGCCTGCTATGAACACAACAGCTGATTACCAGTGATGTGAATACAGTCACATTACACAACCATTGACACAATTATATAAAAAAAGGCAAACAAAAGTTGATTGTACAGTTGCTTTTCCACATGTACTTCATACTGAGAGAGGAAGACGCCATTCTGGAAAGGTGGTAGGCGGGGTTAATCTCTTCAAGCAGCAAACATTGGGGACAACAGAAAAGTAAAAGAGGGCCAGGTGTGAGGGAGTAAGGTGCTACATGGCACAGCTCAGTGGGGGTGCAGGGGGGGCTGTGTGAGGATGGCAGGTTGGTGAACAGAGGTGGATCGTATGCAACCAATGAAACGTTGGGCAGTTAGGGAGGCAATGGACGGAGAGGAGGGAGTGTGTGAGTGTGAGTGTGTGTGTGTGTGTGTGTGTGTGTGTGTGGGGGGGGGGGGTCTGTTGCTGCTGCTACTGCTGCTGCTACTGCTGCTGAGGTGGGAGGGGCGCCGGGGTGTTAAGACGGCGAGGCGGGAACTAAGGCATGAGAGCATGAAATGCACAACAAAAGTAAAAACAAAGAAGGCAGAAATGGTGGACACAGGGCGGGGATGGGGGCGACTGAGGAACGCACAGAGCTGGGGGGCGAGGGTGGGATTTTGTTTCCCTCGCCCCCCTACCACAAAGGCCTCTTTTAGTCTGTCCAGTCTTTCTTGATGTTGAGGTTCCACTCCCAGGACAGGTGGTCGTGCTTGTCGTCGTCAGTAAACTTGGATTTGATGACGTAGTTGCCGCGGGCCAGAACGCCTTTAGGAGCCTCCTCCACTGTGGTCAGGAAGTCGTATTCAGAGGGACGAGGCCCGTAGCTGCCCACCATGTAGTCCGACTTGTCGACTGTTCACAAATGAGAGCGGGCGTTACGTTCAGAGACAAATGTTTGGGCATTTGTGTTTTTATTTGAGAGTGGACAGTAGAAAGGCGACATGGATGATGGGAAACAGAGTGAAACCGCTGACGTTGAGCCCTCAGCCACTGGGGAGCCTATCATAAATTCTGACATAATTTGTATGTTTCAGTGGGTAAGAAACATTTAAGTCCAACTGAAATCTAAATAATTGTTGTTGCAGTCAGAAAGTTCAAGTGATTTGACAAATGTGTTGTTAATATTGTTTCTGCTTTTAAAAAGAAGAAGAAAGGCCTTCAGAACAGTGTTGGGGAGTGCGGCACTGTGGCACTGCTAGTAATAATATTACAGTAATATTACTTTCTACAGTAACTTATACATTTCCCACCGAAAAAGAATTTGATACAACCTTACTTTTGTTGGCACCCCCTACTGATTTAAAATCCAATCACACAAATACCAATTTTGTTTTAGTGTAACTAATTACTGTTGGCAGGCTGTAATAAGTAAAGTAAAAATATTAATTTTGAAAAACAGTAAAGAGTAATTCATTTTATTTTTTAGTAACTAGACCAATACTGCATCAGAATGTCTCTGAGTGGGCGGGCCTGTGAACCTGATTGACAGCTGAGCCAACAGGGATACAGTCACAGAATACAACTGGTAGCTATAGCTTACACAGTGTTGTTAGCAGTGGTGGTGAAGAATAAGGACCGTTTTTAAGGTGAAACTGTCTACGTAGACAGAGAAACAACATTCTGACTGGCACCAGCTCATGTGGTCTGTGTGCTGTCACAGAAAAAGAAAGAAGACAATTTAATTTTACTTGAAGGCCAATTATGACAAGCTATTTACACATGCTCAACGTTTAACCGTGTAACTTATGATTGAGCTACATTCCAGACATCGGCGGAAACACGGTAATTACTTGAGAATGACGAGTGTTTAGAAGCAGGAGAGGTATGTTTGACATCATCATTTCAGACAGGCCAAGACAAATCGTTCACTCACTCTTCACTCCTTTCCTGTATGTCTGCTGCACATACTTCAGACCCGAAACTATCTCCCTGTTCACCTGAGGAGACACAAACTCTGTTAAAGACAACCACAGACCTGCTTGATTTTTTTTGTGCAGTTAACAGTTTAAATGTCTTCTGCATTTAGCACCCACCAATATCGTCTGACCCACAAAGACAGAGAATGACTCCGACTTCTGTTCAATAACCCTCATATCAGCGATTGGGAAACAGTATCTTTGTCAATTTGAATCAGCTCTGATTAATTCATATTACTCTTATATTTATGGTGGCCCTGAGGGTCAAAACACAACATTTCACAAAAAACAATGACATTTCTGATTAAATAGGAAAGGGACGGACAATCCTTTTTTGTGACTGGAAAAAACCTGTGTCAGTTCAGAGTGTACAGAACGGATGTGTTAAGGTGGGTTGGTGCTCTGAACTTAACGTTGCTGTGATTGGTTGTTTCACTGTCAGGTGACTAGGGGCATGTGATAGAGCCAAGAATGTAGATGGCTAAGTGGACAATCGTTTAGGCATTTTGGTTTTATTGAAAAAAACTCTTCACTTTCACTAGTCAGTTGTCAGGGTTCCCATGACATTTTAAAGGACCAGGGTGTAGGATGTACTGGCATATAGCGTTCAAGTTTCAGATTGCAACTAATTGATGGTGTCTGTATTTGGCAGCCTGGGAATGAAACTTGAGTGTTAAGTGTGTAGTAGGAATTACAGTGGCCACAAAAGTCCCCATTTACAACCAGTGCTCATTTAGTCTCTTCTAGAAACATGGCAGTTCACTATGGAAGGTGACCCATGGCATCTGTAGATAGGAACAGCTCTAGGGTAACAAAAACACAATATGAATATAACATTCCTTCTCTTGTTTTGGGGTGTTTTTCTTTATTGGATCCAGACTTCTCTCTTACTGTTGTGGCAGCTCCATTTTTTATTTCACAATTTTTTCCAGCATATGACAGCTCTCAATCTCATTTCAGTCAACGCCAGGGGTCTTAACATTCCACACAAAAGGACCACTGTACTAGAATTTCTTCGTAAGAAAAATATAGATTTTGCTATGATTCAGGAATCACATTTATTGTGCAAAGATGTGGGTCGATTAGCCAATAAGCTTTATCACCCTTATTGCGAGTAATGGTTTTGTGTAAACGCAAACTAAAATTTGATGTGATTGACTCTTGAGCGGATGATGCAGGTCGGATAGCCATTGCCAAGATTTGCATGGATGGGAAAAACATTGCGCTTATTTCTGCTTATGCCCCTAATGCTTTGATGGCACATTTTTTGAACTACTAACTAAATCCTTGCTTGATCTCACAGGGTTTCATTTAGTTCTAGGGGCAGATTTCAATGCGGTGTGGGACAGTGGCATGGACAGAACAGGTGGCAGTGAGACTAGGGACCAACATCTTGTGTCTGGGGCATTGCGCCAGTGGGCATCCGAAACAGGCATGGTCGACATCTGGCGTTTGTTAAACCCATAAAGACATAAATCCTTCTCGAGATTAGATTTTATCTTTGCCTCAAAAGATTTATTTCAAAATATTCAAAATGCGCATTACATTCCGGTTACCTGGTCTGATCACAAACCAATATATTGTTCGGTCACTGTTCGTCCGTCTTCCACTAAAGCCCACAGATGGCGTTTCAATTCCTCCTTACTGCGAGATGAAACATTCAAAACTCAGTTTGGAACAAATGTTAGTGAATTTTTGGAATTTAATGTCGGCTCTGTTTCCGATCCGAGGATACTTTGGGAGGCGGTGAAAAGCTTTATAAGGAGTAACACCACTTTATATGCTTCAACACGAAACAAGGAACGTGCAGCCAAATTGGAAGCTTTAGAATTAAAATATGCAACCGTTGATGCTTCCCTGCAACATCACTTTAACGACTACACAGCCCTACAGAAGGAACCGATTAAAAAAGAGATTAACTCTCTTCTGAGGCGCCGTTCAGAATTCCTCATGCACAAAACAAGACAAACTTACTATTTTAACTCCTCAAAACCCAGTCATCTACTAGCAATGAAACTTCGGACGGATGAGCACTTTGCTGATATTTTTTGCATTAAAGACAATGACGGCACTATACAATGTGACCCAAAAAAAGTAAATGCCTCTTTTGCCTCCTTTTATCAGGAGTTATATAATTCAGAAAGCAATTTTGACAAACATGCCTGCGATAATTTCTTAAATGACATTAAACTATCCCGTCTTAGTACTGATGACTCCATAAAGCTAGATGGCCCTGTCACATTGCAGGAGTGTGAGGCGGCTGTTAGGGACATGCGTAAAGGTAGATCACCAGGGCCGGACGGAATTCAACCTGAATTTTACCTCACCTTTTAGCCCCTGATCGGCCCGCTGTTATTGGACATGATCCATTATTCAATCAGAGTGGGATCATTTTCTAGGGATGTTAATTGGCATTAATTTCACTGCTTCTTAAAAAAGGAAAGGATCCAGTTGAGTGCTCCAGCTACAGGCCTCTTTCGCTTTTAAATGCAGATTTAAAGATTTACGCGAAATTACTGGCCCGGTCCTTTCACTAGATGCAATGAAGGCCTTTGACCGCCTGGAGTGGCCATTTCTGTGGTCGGTGTTAGAGTTCATGGGGGTCGGCTTGCCGTTCATTAATATGATTAAGGTGCTGTAAAATAACCCAACAGCTGTAGTGGTGACAGGCAAAACTAGCTCTTCTCCCTTTGCTGTCTCGAGAGGATCAAGACAAGGCTGCCCTCTTAGCCCTGTTATTCGCCCTCTCTTAAATCACTGGCGCAAGCCATCCGCGGCTCACCCACAATCTCTCCAATTTCCATTAGAGGAACACACCATCATGTCTCACTGTATTTTTGTGGCGTGGCAATCGATCTCGCATTAAGCTCACCACTATGCAGCGAGAAAGGCAAGCCGGTGGCCTGTCTCTCCCAAACTTCAAGTTCTATGGGTGGGCCTTCACACTTAGACCTCTCCTATCTTGGTTTCAATCTGATGCTCAAGTATCATGGCAAGCTTTGGAGGAGCGGATGATAGCTCCATACTCTTTTACTAACCTTCTGCATTCTAAACTCTCACCTCATCACTGCCGTTTGAGATTTGGTCCTATGATTTCATATTTGCTATTGATAAGGAGGAGGGTGGAGAAACTGGCTGGTTGCTCTTCTGTTTGGGACCCACACTCTCCAGTAATTAACAATGAGAGATTGTTGATTGGAAATTGTCCTATTCGATTTCCTGATTGGGAAAAAAAAAACATTTGCACACTCGGTGATATTTATGGGTTACTTACTTTTCAGAACATATGTATTAAGCATGGTATACCACGTACCTCCTTTTTCTTTTATTTGCTGTTGAGATCGACTTTAAAAAGCAATGGCGCCCCTTTACAGGCCCCTCTCACACCACATCCATTTTGAAAATTGTTTCACTCTGCTGGGAGTACAAGGGGTTTTGTATCGAGACTTTACTGATTCTTACTACGGCATGCTTACAGACCTCTGGCATTGGACACGGTGTGGAGGAGAGATGTTCCAGATCTGGAACCTACATTTGACTGGGATAAAGTGTGGATCAGTGTGGGCTTAGCATCCAGAAACCCTGATCATCAGCAAATACATTATAATTATATACACAGGGTATATTTAACTCCTAGGAAGCTTCATTTGATGAAGGTTATTAAGGATCCTACGTGTACTTTCTGTTCCTCCAAAGTGATTGGCAGTTATTTTCACATGTTTTGGGAGTGTACCCCAGTGGCCGGATTTTGGAAGATGGTTGCCTTTAACCTCTCTGGGCTGTTTAAGATTAAATTGCCCTGTTTGCCTGTTTGCCTGTTACACTCATGTTAAATGATTTGTCAAGGCTGGGTTTGACACTGGACAAGAGAAGAGCATTATTGGCCGGACTTCCGGCTACAAAAAAACTAGTTGCCACACGTTGGAAACCTCCACATTCACTCTCTTTTCGAGCTTGGCTTTTAACATATTTGGATATTGTTTATTTAGAGTTGTCGACAGCTAAAGTCCACGGAGCAAAAGAGTCAACAATAGAGGCTTGGCATTCACTTTTAACTATCCTCCGTGGGTTTCAGGTGTAATATGTAACTGAGATTTGGAGTTCTGGATCCAGGGGGTGGGTGGGTTATATCTGGGGTTTTATTTATTTATTTTTATTATTTTATCTTAGTTGTTAATCATACGTAGCTGTATATATGTATATGTATAGGTATGTATGTGAATATATATTTCATGCTCTATTTTTGTAACGTGTATATATACCTGTCTGTATTTTCTCTTTAAAATAAAATAAAGATTTTATCACAAAAAAAATGAATATAACATTCCATTTCTGCCAATAGATCCTCCTGAATGCTACACATTGGATCTTTAATGTCATGACATGCTGAAAGCATGTTGACAATTATAGCACATTAATATGCCCTGTTAATATATTACCTTATGATTTCAATCTCCTGTTCCATCCTTTCAGGGACACTGCTGACAGTAGTGTACAATAGAAACAGGAAATGACATTGAACTGTCGCCAGGGACTTGGGTTCTGTCCAGCCTCAAACAAAGAAGTGTTGTCGCACCTTTTCCGTAACTTAAAAGATTGCTGTGTTTTGACCCTCAGGGCCACCGTACGTATTCCAGGGAAACAGACTATGTCCTGTATACAGTTGCAGCTGCAGCAGCTCTCACCTTAAAGCTGATCTTTATTTTGTATTCAACTCCCTCCTTCAGAACAAAGGCCTGCTTCTTAAAGGCTTCCAGGTCTCCTGTTTAAGGGCAAAAGGGAAAAAAGGACAGGCATCAGTATTTAGTTGGTCACAGTGATGCTGATCATGATCATTAGACAAGAATTTAGTACTAAACCGAAGAATACCAAGTCAAGATCTTATATTATTGTGGAGGAAATCCTAGGTTCTTTTTACAGTTTAAGTGTGAAGTACGTCTCCAGATGTTTCATTAAGGATCTGAGGATGACCTTGAGTCTGTTTAGTGAATCTTGTGGTTATGTCACATTATAATGCGAGTGTTTGACACTGGCTGGCGAGTTGAGACTCTTGTCTGCTGTGAGTGAGTGTGACAGGGCTGTATCGCCATAGGAACCCTGACAGAGTGATCTGAAAATCTGTAACAGTGACATTATGTCATGGAGAATAATACAAAAAAGCATCAGCAACAGTATACTTGATATCCATGTATTCCTAATATTAAACGGTAAATGATTCTCAAAACTTTTTCCATGATTTCTGTGAAGTGGATTTATAGACGTTAATGATGGACAATGGGGGACATTAATAAGTCACACGGAATCTAAAAATCTGTGCATCATGTCTGTGTTATTACTCTGAGGAGAAGCTGGTATTTTAAAGCATCTACCATAAAAAGTTCAATTAATAGCCTGGGCTTTTATTTGCTTCAACCACTGAACTCAACCTGCCTGTATTTGGGACAGAACTTGCTAAGCTAAGACAGAAAATATCATTTCACCTTTACTTGTGTCACAGCCACTGCATCTGCTAGAACTGCTGTGTTGATAGCAGGTCGGATCAGCAGCCAAACTACAAGAACTAATGTCCCATTGTTTTAAGAACCCCGGTATGCACCTGTCCCTTCGACCTCAAGTAGCTCTCCCTCTGCCCCCTACGGGGGTGCAGAAATGTTTGAAAACCTCTGTAGTAAAACTATTAATCCCACCACAAAGTGAGTATCAGACTTAGAACTATTTAGGATTACAATAACACCACAAATGGTAGAGAAATACGTACTACAGACTTGATAATAATACTTAATACACTTATATGCCAGATATCTGTAGAGTCCACAGGCGTCTAAAATAATCTGGCAGCCCCCTGGGTGCTGACCACCATGTTTAGAGTCACTGCCCTGTCGTTCCCAGGCCACTAAAAACAGGCTCTCGATTGGAGCGATAGCTTCCAGCATGTTCCTGCTGAGCTGAGCATGTGTCCTCCTCTTCCTGGGGGTCCGTCTCTTACACTGGTGAGCCTGAGCTTCAAGGCCACAATAATCCAACATCAGATAGGTCTGGCATACAGAGGCTGTATTGATTCCTTTACTGGCAGTGACCTAACTCGCTGACTAGGTTTTTATGACTCATTCTTGGCAGGCTTTTACTGTAACTTCAAAAACAACCTAAAGACACAGTATTTCAGTCCCTTGGGAGACTTTTGTTACCTATTAACACTGAGGTACTAGTAAGTAGTAGTTACTAGACTGTACACCTGTAAAATGAAACGCAATGCAAAACAACAGCCCTGGAAAAAATAGAATAAATAAATAAATAAATAATTCTCATGAAATTTGATAGTGTTTCAGGGGATTTTATTCAACCCCATGGACATTATGAAAGCTATAGTTACAGCTGGTGTTTGTATTGAATTGCATTATATACTGAGGGGAGGGGCCTCATCTATATAATGGGGTAGACAGAACAACTATAATTGTATATACTGTGTTAAACATATAATATATGAATATACTGCTAACTATTCAAAGCAAGGTCTGTAAATTATAAACAGTAACCTGAACAGAACTGGGATACGACCCAAAACTATCTGCTAGGTGCTACTAGGGTTACTAAATGTTTGTTGTATTCTTTTTAATTAGTAATCAACCTTTAAAGGACAAATCACCCTTTATAGCACCAGAAACTCTTCCAGAAGCCCAGAAACTGTTTGAGATATTCAGATCTGCATTTCAGCTGCAGGAACCTTGTTCCAGCCCCACAGCTAGCTCCTGCTCCTGAGGTACTAATTTGTTATGATGGTCCAAGAACTGTCTGGGTGGATTTCCAGTACTGGACCATGAGGACAAACAGAGGCAACTGCTACAGCTTGTGTACAGTGTTCATTAGGGATGGAGTGGTTCGAATCAAGAATCCAAACCTTTCTTTACACTAGTCACGGCTCGGGGCGTGTATGTATTGTTCAGTTCATTTGAAATAGGCTATGAGGTAAGGCTGTGTTCTGTGCCGCTGCTTCAGCAAAGCATCTCTCACTCCCGGGAAGTATCCGCAATCGATTAACTATCGGGCAATCTCCCCTCCCTCTGCCCCTCCTGTACAATCTACTGACAGTGGATCTGCAGAGAAACACACAGAGACAGACGCTCTCGGGCACAGAGACAGGTGGAAGAGTACTGAAGGCAAAGGCAAGGTGAGCAGATTTAAATAGTTTGTGAGTTAAGTTAATAAGAAAATAACCTCTATAAACAGTAATAGAAGCCTATTGTAGTAATGTAGCCTATTCCTTTAAATATGTTCAATATGGTTAGTAATATGGCCATTTGTCTATCAAAATAAAGCAGCATTTGTGTTTGCACTAATTAGAAAACCCATTATTTTAATTAAGATTTAACAATGAAGTGTTTATGTTCCTTATGTTATTAGCCAAAATTTTGTTAAAGCAAACAATCTCCTTGCCAAATAAATGAAAAGCATGTAAAAAATGGCAAAAACGTACCGAACCGAAAACAATGACTCCAAAACGGTGATATGAACTGAACTGTGAATGTTGTGAACTGTTCCACCCCTACTATTCTTTTTTTCACTGAAAAGCACTACATATTTGAAAGTCCCGCCACTTTTTGCTCTGTGCTCCAATATCACTTGAGATAGCCTCGGTCAGAAACTCGGTCAACTTTCCTTTCCAGTACATAGATATGCTATGTGCCTATTCAGCCACATTTTGAAGTTGGTTAAGGGATAAAAACGACGTGTATAGTCACATCTTAAGTTAGCTCATGTAAGCAAAACGCTACCTAACTAGCAAGCTAATCTACATTGATCGTATAGCAAAGGAAAAAGTTGACTGGGGTTCTGACCGAGGCTTGCTCCACAGTTACTGGAGCACAGAGCCAAAAGGGGCGAGATTTCATTCCAGTATACAGTACTATTTTCGACATGAAAATGGTCGGATTTAGAGTGCTGCATCAATATGAGCTCTCTGACATTAAGCAAAAATGACTAAAAAACCCATTATCGCTCAAACTTTGAACTTTGTGGGCAGTCACTATTTTTTGCTGAGAAAGTAGGAGAATTAAGAGTGATGCAGGGAGAGGCAGACACAGGACAGAATGTTCTGGATGGATTCAAATCTAGGCCAGCTGGGGCACGAGCCGCTACGGAGGCGGGGGCGGGGGGGTCTTAACTGATAAATGGTCACTGGGAATATTGTAAGCACATTTCTACAGTCATCAACCAAACAGGGAAAAAAAAGAATCCAGTCTATGTACCTCCTCTATACCTCTCTACCTCTGTAGGCAATCAGTGAATCCATATTCATTTACAGCATGCTCAGCACAGACTCAAACCTTCACAGCCGAATCTGTAAGTACTGTTGGATGAAAATCAAAACAAGCAATGTCAGTGCAGCTGTCAATGGGATGCTATATTTGACTGGGACAGATATAGTTACTAGGAAAGACACGGAAGAACATATTTCTGTGTTGAGGCGATACGTGGAGAAACAATCTATAAGTTATCAGTACAACTATTAATGTTTGGACCTCTTTTAATTTGACGCACAATCTGTCTGACAGCAGCCATACTGCTGACCAGTTGCATCCTTTTTTTTGCAAAAGACAAATATTTTAAATAAATATGCGATCTCTATTTGCTGATAAACAGGGACTCACCTTGCAGGTCCAGGATCAGAGGGTTGGGGGCCGTTTCGCAGACAAGGGACATCCGGGTCACTTGAACATTGGGAACAGAGGGATCTGAGACAGGATCAAAGAAACAGACCATTCAATAAAGACAACCGAGATCATTTCAAACACACCATGAGGTGACATTTTAGAGACTGTACATTTACAGCTCCCTGTTAAACACCTCTGACTGTGCCATTTAATTACCACCATTTACCTCCACTGTTCATACTGTGCAGACTTTCACTGGATTCCTTTTAACAACATCAGAGAACAGAGTTTGTGAGTGCAGTTAACTAACAGGTATTTGTTGTGGCAACGCTTTCATGTACACATGCAGACAACTTAGACCAGAATCCAAACATTCACAAGAGGCCTACACAGGATGCGTGTCCTGTAACAAGCAGCTGTCTAAGTGAATGGGCTCATGGGAGCTGAAATCAGGACAGCTCTGCTGTAGTTGGGACAGCCTCTGCATTAATTAGACTTAGGTTTCTTTTCAGTCCCACTGAAGCAGCCTTTTCTCCTCCCCAATAGACAGCATACTGATTTATCATTCATTCTAGGTCACAGGTTGCCATGAATGCATGCATAGTGTATACACACAACTCCGTCTGGAAGTCTGATTTAGTTTACAGGATCTGAAAACCAATACTGCATCTTAGCCCTCAGTCAGTCTCCATTTAAGTTGAAATAAAAGTTTTTTGCTATACTATCAAATAGGGCTGTGCGATATGATGATATATTTTGTGTATGTCTATCATTTCATATTTTGCTCTATTGTTTATTTCATTGGGTCACAAATCACACTTTTCTGGAGTTCATATGAGAATACGGGCTCTTAAGGGGTTGATGAAGCAAGGATGCAATGGCTCACACACTACCGCCATCAGCTCACTTTGCTTTCTTTTTCCCACATACACAAATGCTGTGGCACAAAGCCTTAAACTGCTTTACCTCACAAATTTCAACTACAACATTTAGGGCTGAACAATTAATAGGGATAGTGATCAGTCAGGGTTATTGGATCTGATATTCAATATTTTGATATTCTGCCGATAAACTGAAAACTAAAATTTCAATACAAATGTAAGTTTTACTAGTTTTCTTTTCATTTTTACGCTACTTCAGGGAACTATTTTGTTTATTTATTTAGATTTTCAGTGAACTTTAGAAGAAATGCTCCTTGGCTTCCGGTACTTGTTTTGATAATGTTGAAAAGCATTTAATCAAACACATAAAAATACTTTTTTCTTTAACTTAAAATGATATAATACACTTAAAATAACTAAAGTAAAAATGTAGAATGGCATTTCAGAAAAATATAGATTACATTACTGGATTATAATGACTGATCAATTAATGTGTTCATCACTTTAATGGTGCAGCTGGTAAGGGTGGGGCTCATTTATGAAACAGTATGAAATGGAAACACTCAAGTAAAGTTAGTACCTCAAAATTGTATTATTACAGTACTAAACTACACCAATACCAATACCAATAATCTAATAGTCCGTATCGGTCGATCACTAACAATTATTGATTATCATTTTTTAAATGAGAAACTTAAACAATTAACAGTGTATTAACAAGGTTGTAGGAGGTGAAGGGTTAAGATGGTGGCAGCAGATTAATTCAGCCGGAGCTAATTAATGTTAATTAATCTGTTAATAGACAGTTATCTGGTTAATATGCTCTCTTCATGCCAGTGTCTCTACTATTTACATTGGGTGAAAGGTAGTAGTCTGGAAGAAGAAACGCCACTAGGTATGGTTTGTCTGGATAAATAATAAGAGTGTGGTGTATTTTGTGGTCAGTCTTTGTCTACGTAAATGATCGAGGGGATCGCCACACATCAGCTTGGTAGTTAACAAATGTGTACAGCTTGAGTTGTTGAATTCTCCCAGTTCAACTTGTTCTAAGCAAATTCTATCTTTGTTTAAGGCTTTTAACTTTAAACCTCAGAGTCTGGATCATTGATAGTCAAGGTGGTGAAGCTGCCTGTTTGGTTACAGCTCGTCTACACAGGAGGAGTTTCAGACGCATTTTTGAAGTCGTCCGTCTCACACACGTCTGACAGAACACAAGCTCCTATTGTAATCATCCAGCGGTCTACACAGGCTGTCCAATGACTCACTTTTTGAGTCCATTCCATTCCATGTTACGTATATAACAACAGTGATTGTGTATTGGACAATGCTGAAATGCAGATGACCCACACTCAGCACTGTGCCTGAACGCATCCAGCGTGGACACAGACAGAGGACTGAAGCTGCTGCTCTGCTAACGTGCTGCTTTCTTTATGTGGAGTATGTAGACACTGTGTTCATCTGTGAAGCTAACGTTAGCTTTATCAGCAAGTGCTCAGAGCTGTAGTCAACAGCAGCATTAACGCAATGTTATATCAACTTTATTAGGTCTCGTCAGCCTATAAAAACACTGTTATTACCATTACTGACAAACTAGTTGTTAATGTCCTGATTCAGTTTGAATATTGATCCTAAGACTATTTATTAAGACCTAATAAATGTGAACTGTATTGATATCTTCTAGAAAAGATAAATTGATTCGTCTAGTTAGAAGTTGACTTTTCTGAAACTGACTGGAAAAAAGAACCCTGGGAAACATTATTTTATCTAATTCTATTCTCGTAGAAAAAAAGATAAATTCATGCTCATACTTGGTACCAACAAATACAGGCCAGTAATTTACTTTATAGAATATTTTTGCAATCCTGATGGAAAAACAGAAAGATATTTTCCTCAAGCTATTCAGCCCTCCCCTTATTATATTACACTTTAAACGCACCTGATACTTCAAAGCCCAATCTGTCACTCTATTAGCCAAACAGGTAGCTAGCATCATGGTTCTCTCCTGCTCCCTCTCTCTCACACACGCACGGACACATACAGTCAATGCATTACCAGCCTCAGCGACCCCAGAGCCAAGCAGGGTTTCCTTATATTTGCGTAGGCTCTCATCGTCCTTATCCAGCTCGTGGATCTCCTTCACCGACTTCTGAGCCGGTGCCTTGTAGTTCACAGGCTCTGGCGTCTCGTTTTCGGCGGCGATGGCTGCTAGCTGCTCTGGAGTCACCTGATCCTCAGCCATGTCTGGAGACAGTGGGTGCAAAGTGAGGAAAAACAGGGGCACATAAAAATAAATCAGGTAGGGTTGAGACAGAACAAAGGGAGAAACATGAAGACGCAGCACGCAGAGAACTCTTCCTGTATTCCTCATGCACACTTGCCTCTCTTGGGGAAGAGGTTGTAAACCAACAGAACAAACAGATCACTGCAACAATAATGCAATGCTGACGGAAAGTGTCCAGCCTACTGGATGTGTGGCTGCTCTGGTGTGCTATGAGGTTGTGCTGGTAAGACGGCAGCGGCGGCGTTTCTCTTATGCTGCTGATGACCCCACTCTGGCTGCTGTGTGACATCATCTGAACACATTTCTCAGAAATAACATCACCACCGCTCGCAGAGTTGTAAATGAGGCGTCATGCATCACTCTCCCTGGAGGGGGGCGTGGTCCTTCACCGGCCCAGACATTATTGAGGACGTAGGAAAAGGACTGTGTTCCTTTGGCATGAGAAACATTCACCTGTGAGGTGTTTTAGAAAAAGATGGACCAATCAAACCATCAGGTCTCTCCACTGCTAGTGCTTCTAACATACAGTATTGCTCAGTTAATGCAGTGTATTTATTTCTTGTTTGTTTGTTTTCTGACTTTTTGTCTGCATGGAAAATGCCGTTTTGTGACCAACAATCTGAAGCATGAGATTACTTTTGCCCACAGCACTGGATAAGGCCATTCAGTTCATATCAGGAAGAAAATACTCAAAAGAGAAAGATGATAATGATACATTACTGCTAAGCCAATGGGTTTAAGTTTCCCTTGGACCGCAAATAAGCTTGTTTGTACAGTCTTGCTGTGGCAGGGTCATCCCTCGCTAAGGAGGTTAGTGGAAGAAATCCCTCCACTGAAACATAATGAGTAACAAAAGCAGGAAGAGCTTGTTTATGCCAAAAGACTTGACATTCACATTAAGGCCATCCCACCCGCAGCACTGCACAGGCGCCACAGGCCGGCAATGCCTTGTTAAGACTCAAGCAATGCAGTGTAAACATTTGAATATAGTTTGGGTCCATTCCTGAGAGTTACATTCTACATCACCTTAGTTTACCTTGAATCACGTAAGTGCAGCAATTTTAATACTGTAAATAATTACACTAACATTTGGTACTCCATTTGCTACTCCAGGAGAAACCTAATGGCTGGTCGTGTGTACAACATTTACTTGGCCGTAATGTGGAAAAGCCAGCAGAGTAAATTAAGGATGTAAACTCTCTTTGGGCATTTGCAATGAGTCTAATCCTCCACTGGAGTGCCAAATATGCAGCTACTAGGCTGGCCTGAACAAAGGGAACTGGAGACCTGTGTAAGACTTGCAGAGTGCATTTTACATTCAGCTGAAACTGAAACCCATTCGCCAATTAATTCAATATAAACCGAAAATCAATCTGCCACCGTTTTGTTAATTGATTAATCGATTATTAATATAATAATATATATAATAATCTGTCAGTCAGTTTAAGATCTATTGTTCAGCTATTTTGATAATCCATTCATCTTTAAGTTATTCAAATGAGAGAATATGCTGGTTTTCTTAGTCTTTACAAAAAACAGCTCAATTTTGATGGTCATTCTTTCCTATTTTCTGACTAAACAACTGACTGAATTATTAGGAAAATAACTGTTAGTTGCATACAAGCATTCAGCTATAACAAAACCTAACTGTGAGCTAATTTTATCTTCATCTCCCCCAAACAGTCCTAAGCCTGTAATAATGCTTTAATACCGACGTACCACCGTTTACATTATACAACAGCAACCACTGAGGGATTTAAATGCTTTCAGCAGCCACTCTCAACCACAGTGCTAAACTGTGGCACTGATTGATTAGTAGTAGGGCTGCACAGCCAAACGTGCATGAAAAATACAAATTTCCTTATTGTTGGACAATGGAGGCAAAACAGCTGTGAAGTATTTTCTATCTTGAGGGACTGTTACTAAAACTCACAATAATCCTGTAACGTCTGCAAAGGCCATTGTGATTATTACTATTCAGATTCCTCCTTCTGGTTTGAAGAGAGAATCTCTGAGCGTACCTCTACCGGGGTCTTTCCTCTGACCTGCCCAAACTAACAGAGGATTGTCTGCGAGCAGTAAAGGCGCAAACTCTGACGACCGAGGAGCTTCAGGCTGTAGTCACAAACATGCCTGAGCAAGGTCCAAAAAAATCCACTGACTATTACTATTCCGCCTCTATACAAAGAGAAGGGATAAAAATATTCAAGTGCTCAAATTTAACCTCAACTGTTTGCCCTATGATCAAATCATTGTACCTTTGGATGACAAGAATGTGACTTCCAATATCATTCAACCTCTATGGAAATGACTGAAGCCCCAGGAGAGGATGGGTCATAACACAAAACACTCCAGTGAAAGAGTCCAGACTCTTTTTACATTACAACATTCCTCTGATCTCAAAATGCACTCCCCTGTTTTGCATAACTAAATTTGATATCTGCAAAAGACAAAATTTGGATCAAGGCTGTTTGTAATGAAAGGAGAGGTGCTGTTGGGGGAGGGGGCTTCAGACTGAATACATTATGTAACTGCTGGCATTAAACTCTCTGTCACTGTAGTGAAAAATCAAGAAGTTCCTCCTCCCTTCTCTTTAGGTGGGAAGGGTTCATGTACATGCAGTAACAGAAAGTTGGGTCTTGATGAGAGAGGTTCAGGATTTGTTACGTTTTCTTGACATATAACTGTGAATACCTAAAGAGAAGGTTCTTGATCATCCTGAATCGTGTTTTGTTTGTCTACAGTTCAAATAGGCCAAAAGGCACAAGACTTAAGGAGTTGACCAAAAGTAATGGAAGAGGCTTCATCAAGTGCTGTCGGGCAAAACATTAAGAAGGTTCAGGATTGCACTGGAATCCATTTTGACACCCAGCTGGAGAGGAGGAAGCAATCTTCATCAGGCAAACTGCTGACTGAACCAGACAGGAAGCTAGAAACTGCAAATTCATAAACTGAGAGAAAGTGTACAGGAGTCTGATGAAGTTTACCACTTCTGTCTGACCTGGGCTTTTTTTTATTTTACTATTGAACAATAACAAACCAAAGGGCAAAGCAGTATGTATCCAGCCTCTTTATCTCCCGGCAGGCCTGATAGAAATAATATATGTCAAATAATACAGAAATATAATTAAAAAAAACTAAAGAAATATTTCAACGTTACAAATGATAGCGTTTAGAAATCAGTGTCATTGAATAAAACAGTTTCCCCAAAAGAAGCAAGCTGTGTGCTGCTGAACTATGTAATGTCCAACATCAGTGTGTGAAGTTCAACACCATAACGATGTAACAGTGTAAACATGTAACGTTAATGACTGCGGGGGCTAGCTAACGCCACCACTGAACACTGGCATCCGCAAGAGCTGAGACACAACCGGCTAACACACCGCCAGGGCAGCGGCACCACACTGCTAGGTTTATACTGAGATTGATTTCTACTCAACAACGGGGCTCAACTTTTCTTGGCGCCCACCCTCTCACACAGGGTGGGACTGAGGAGAGAGAGACAGACAGACAGACAGACAGACAGACAGACAGACAGACGGGTGGCTAGCTGGTACACTGGGAACAATCCAGCCAAGCTAACCGGAGCCTGCGGCTAACATTAGCCAGACAAGTTATCATCATCAGCCGGAGATCAGGACTGAAACCTGGACGGTTCCAGCGCGGTGCGCCGGTTCGGGTCCATGTACAAAGTGTGTCATTAGCTGCCTTCGAACCCGGGGAGACTTACCGTAATCTGATGTGCGGTGGTGATTTCAGGTGCCTTTGCAGTAAGAGCTCCCGTGCAAGTATGGCGAACAAGGCAACGGCGCCGCCCCGTGCGTCGCCCGCGCTACACGGTTCCGGGAAACTGGTCCGCGCACGCCGCACGCAAATGACGTGCAGTGCGGTGCCGCGCGCCACCGGCAAATCACACTGCAATTTGATTTCATCATCATCATCATCATCTTCATCATGGTTTATAGTATATATAATGTTATAATGTGCTTAGAGCTCAGGGGATTACATGAAAGATAAAAACTGGCGATCGGGCCCAATAGAGGGCTGAGTGGTGCTGAGGATCTGTTCAACACATTGATTGTTAGGAAACCTTAGAATGACACCAACTCTTCAGAAAAGCCATCCTCTAAAAGATAAAAGGCTGCTTCAGCCTACAGTGGCTAATGCTGGCCAACAACGGTTTTAACACTCATTAGCCCATACCACTATTCAGCAAGATAGGGTCTCTCAATTGGGCCCCATTTTGTACCTGGCTACGGGCAGTTAAAACCAACCTGACTGATATTACTACAAGCACAATATTAAGAAATATACAGAATAGCAAAAGAAATAGGGCACAATTCCCTTTTGATTTAGTCACATTTGGATTTCATTCATTTTTAAAATGCCATCACAGTAAAGAGCAACAACACTTTCAGTCTTGTGAAGCTAAATCACTAAATAATTAAACAGAAAGACGATTCAATATAATCATTTATGTACAAAACTCTGAAATATGTCCATATGTCAAGTATACAGTACCAAATGAGAACTATAACTACAACATTTAACATTACATTAAACAGCCCATCAAACTGTTGGATCAAGTTTACGTGATTTAAAAAATTAAAAAAAAAAAAAAAAAAGGAGGGGAGGAATTATTTTCTTTTAAATCAATTGTTGCAGTCCAAAGAAAGTGTCCATACATTTGAAAAAGAGCACAGTAGCTGGTGGAGAAAAATCCTCAAAACATAAAACTGCCCCAGAAAACATGGCTACAAAAACACAGACATTAAAATCAACAGAATATAAGGGTCCATACAATAAAATGGCTTCAAAAGACAAGTGTAATAACATCCAATCCATCATATTCGATCAGATAAAAAGAAAAAGGGGAGGGGGAAAAAAATGTTTGGAGCAGAATCCTCTGAGGCTTCTAACTGGTGTCCATCTGAAACTTAAATGTGAAAAACATGATTATTAAATTAATCAATGTCAACAGTATGGTCAAAACATAGAATTTCATGTAACCTGAGTACATACTTTGGCATTGTAAGCATCCAACTGGGCATCCAGTTCCTCTGCAGAAAGCTGGGGTCTGTTTCCACTACCACTTCCTCTTCCTCTCCCCCGACCTCTGAAACCTCTACCGCCGCCGCCGCCACCACCACCACCTTGCCTCCTTTCGCTCCTTTCACTCCTTTCAAACTTGGGCTGTCCAAGCCTGCTCCGGTCAAACCCCCTGTTTGAACTGCAAAGAGATCCGCAATTTTAAGATTGGACAAAAATGTTTACAGTAAATTAACCCAATAACCTCCACTCATTGGTACCCACATACTGTAACAGTAAGGCCAGCCAGTCCCTCCAGGAGTTTGCAGGCTTTTTAGGGATTGTTATGGCCTAAATGCCCAATTTCAGAGGCGCTTGTCTCAGAAATTGGTATGCTTGTTGCAATGTATTTATGCAATTAAGGAAAGTGAAGGAGAAAGCGAAAATTGCAGGACTGGTTGTTGTGCAATTCATTAAAAATCTTGGGCAAATGGTTCCAATGAGTATAAAATCACTAGTAGTTTGGTGATGTGTGGCTCTACGTTTTGCATGGCAAACTTGTTAACTCCTGTGGGAAACTACAATTAAGTCTGATTTATGAAAAAGGTAGTGATTGGACAAATTTGGGACTGGCAGGCTCAGCTTATGTTTGTCTCGTCAAAATTCTGATTCATCCATTCGCCTAAACTCAATACTTTCATCCCTGCATTTAGAGTGCATGGCCACTTTAAAATGACTTACCTTTGTGTAGATTGTCTACTCGGACTGTCGTCTTCTGAGGTCACCTGCTGGACTTTCATGGGGCGGCCTACAAAATAAAAGTTTAAACAAGTGAGAAAACACTTCTTAAGAAACCAAAGTACCACAATGCCATTAAAGCTTGAGGACAGAATACTCACCATCAAGTGGGACACCATTATAGTGCTTCATGGCTTTGAGTGCATCGGCCTTGTTTTCAAAGTGAACATCTGCGGTTCCTTTACTGCGACCAGAACGGTCGTAGTGCACAGAGGCTTTCTTTAAATCCCCAAACTCTGCAAATAATTCCTGGAGGGGGGGGACAGAAATGTCACTCACGTTCACAACATGTTGATGCTAGCAGCTAAGTGGATTAATTGGGTTGAGTAAATCACCTTGACATCCGAGTCAGAGACGCCAAAGTCCAGATTGGAAACCAGTAGTTTGCCACTGCTTTCTACACTTCTTTCAGCTCCCGCCCTCTGTCCTCCTCTGTGCCCACCAGCATGCTCCTCAAACATGTCGTGCTGCCATTTGTCTGGTAACTCTCTGGGCTGTGAAAACAAGAGAAAACAATACTGTAGTCAGGTCACATGTGCTCTGATTCACAAAGAGCTGGCTTATGATCAGAAAAACATTACTTGACCACAAATTCCAACATAAGTGAATGGGGAACGGGTGTATCTTAGTAAAGCACTGTATATGTCACGCCTGCAGGATATACAAAAGGTTTGATTAAGATGATAATGATGATACCAAGGGATGAAACCAAACATGAGTCCATCCTCCCCCAAAAGAAAAAAAGGAGGGGGGGGCACTGGCTTTTCTCCAATGACAAAAAGAAAGCCTTCCTGTGCCATCAGGGTGGTAAAGGAGAGTTTTTAAAGAGATGAAACCGGCTCAAGTCCTTTGTTGAAGCAACAGCATGCTCACTCCGTGGCCATTTGGAAGATTCACGGTTTTCCAAAAGTCGTCTTCATCGTAAGTATTTGCGGACATTCGTTTAAAATCAGTGGATAATTTAAATTGAAAGGCACTGACGACCAGTCGCTGATCCTCCTCACCTCACAACTCAAAGGACAACTTCTCAACATCTCCAGACACAAAGCAGCCATCTTGAGCAAAAATCCATCCAAGCAAGTCTCACGTGGGGACATGTTTTAGGACGCGACCCACAGCTGTGTCGACATGTGAAGAAACTCAGGCGGGGAAAGGCACATTTCTTTCAGGGTAATTCAAGGGTTTTAGCTCACCCCCCCCGCCCCCCCGTGTCGCTGCTAACCACACTAACGTTAGCTTAGGGGAAGTCCATTAGCATGTAACGCTAACCACGACGGGTACGGCGCCAGGGACGCATTTTAACACTTCGCCACGTTACTTTCATTTCCATTTATGCTCCATTTCAACTGCTTCTCTTTCATACCCTGGTGTACGGTGTGCTTCTGTTGTTTCTCTCACGGTTGAAGTTATTCTGTCGACTCCGCGCCGGCCTCGACGATCCGCCGGCCCGACCTGAACTTCCACCCGGCCTCGACGATCTTCCCCCGCTGCCTCCTTTCTTATTCAGCTTGATAATGTCGTCCAGAGACATATTCATCTTGTCAGACATCGTGGTGCTTCCGCTTGTTGCTTACGCTCAAAACGAACAAAGAACTTTCGGCGTTGAGACGACGTTGTTTATCAGCGGCTCTCTCGGTGGCGCGGTGTTGAAACTAGCGGAAATGCGTAGTTCTGTGACGATAGCACCGAAGTCCCGCCCTTTCTTTGCTTCCTCTTTCTTCTTCTTTGGTTTTCTTGCGGGCTTAAACCAACGTTAACGGTGCATGCCGCCACCTACTGTATCGGAGTGTGTAACATCAGCATCAACATCACATCACAGTTTAGTTTTTTCGCATCATCTGAGAACATTCTTAGGTTGTTTGGTGTTCTTAATTAATTAATTAAAGATAATAGTTCCCTAAAATACCACCCTGTTATTTTCATAGAGCTGTGTTCATAGAAGCAAAAACAACTAAAACGATTTATTCAGAGAAAGAAATAACAAACAATAATAATAATTAATAAACCACCATATCTGTAACAGAAGATACTGTTACATGACTCTACCCCCAGTTATAAAACAAGCGCAAAAAGACATTCTTGTGTCATTAAAAGTAAAACAGAACACAAATTGCCCATTCAAAAATCAGTTTAGGTAATTCTACTAGTTGGAATTATATATTATATTAGAATTTGTCAGTTGCAGGTTTTTGTAGGTTCCAAATGTGACGAAGATCAAGATTAGTATAAAAAAATAAATAAAAGTAAAGTAACAATGTTGTGCACTTAAATAACAATGTTGAGGTCAGCTGGCTACTTCAGTTGACCATATTTCTGATCAAAGCATCAAACTTTTACTCTTGATTTGCAGAATTGGTTTGCCGATTAAGAACCTCAAGTATAACATCCAAACTGTAACATATATATGAAGGAACTATAGCAGTGCCACCTTCTGTCTCATCTCCTGCACAGCCTCCCACACAGGTGTTTGTAATCATATCCTGACTAGCTCTTTCCTGAGGACAGACAGCATATTCTGAGCAGAGCTTAACCAATCTCAACTGTGTAAATAGGCCTTAATCAGCCCCCAAAATCACTGGAATTAAGTGAGAATACAGAGGCCACAGTACAGAGTGGTAAAACCTATTATAGTGTGCACAAACCTTCATCCAGTACATAGAGCCTTAATATTGAGAATGGGCCATACTGTACAAATAGCGTTACAGGGTTAGAGGAAGTTTGGTGACATCAATTTTAATAATCAATCATGTTAACTATGATGTTGTTTTAGAGCATTAAGAGTCACTCAGGGTGCGGTCTGTTCACCACAGTGATACATATAGAGCACATGGCCTACTGAGGCTTTGCTGCATGTGCACATAGCAAAAAATAACCCTCAGCCTTAGACAGGACAGCTATAAGGAAACAATTTGTAATTTAATAGATAGATAGATCTGTGTACTTTCCACCACGTATTTTGTTTTCACAAATAAAAATGATAAAATTAAGTCAGTTTCACTTAAAAAGTACTACACTTGATCAAGAATGTTTTTTTTTAACTAATCAGTAATCAGTCTCAACAATTTCTGTCTTAAATGAACTTTTACAGTGAGGAGGATTTTTTTTCCTAGGTAACTATCAGGTTTTCTCAAATCATGTACACATTTCTGGCATTCAGTTAGCTCAGCTGGCTTGAAAAATAGCGCATAGTGATCATAAATGGGTAGGAATAAAATTCAAGGGGGATCATGTGGCCAGAGGCCCAGGTTGGTGCCATGCTCTGAATGATTATAACATCTGGCTCCGCCCCTGCTGTTTACCTTCGTAGGTCACGTGATTCTCATCACAGTTATCTTAGAGTTCTATAGTTTAAAATTAGTTTTGAACCAAAACACAAAAGCAGAGAAACACAGGCCAACCGATGCTACTGAGCTGTTTTGATCTATTCTGGTGAGTAGTGAGAAAATAGCCTCTTTAGTTAACCAACAATACTATTATTATACTGTTACAGCATTTGAGGATCAATATAACATACCATCATTATCAGAAAGTATTGTGATACCGCTGTCAGTGTTAGCAAGCCGATGTCAGTTTGTTTACCTTTATGTAAGTAGACTACATTACAATGGAGAATAACATCAGTGAGGAGGAGACCCAGCCCTCGGCCAGCGGGATGAGGAGATGCTGGAATAAGATTATGCGGAATAAATTTCTGGCTTCAAGTCTGACAGCTGTTGCCCTGGGTAAGCGATAAGGAGATTTTAAGAGACTGAAACTGGAATTAAATCTTCATTTTAAGGAAATATTCAAGTTGAAACACGTTGTCAATTTAAACCAAGTGTGTCCTTCCTAATATAAAAAAAAACTGCAAAGTTAAATTATGTTGTCAGATAGTTGTCCGATTTTTAATGAAGTAACGTTTAGTCCACTGTCAGACACACATCCCGTCTGCTTTAATATGAACATACATCATCTCCAGTAGAGAGACAGGTTGGTCTGAAGACATGCTTTGCAAGAGATTAAATAAATAAATAAAATAAAACCGGATCAAATGTAAATAAGGCCAAGGAAAAACGCCACATTCTGTTGCCTGGGCAACCAGAGCTAAGTGGATCCATCAAATTTTGTGTCCTGTCGTTTATTGTCGCTTTATATTGATAACAGCTGTTACCAAGAAGTATTGTGACCCTTCAACCCCCCCCATAGATAAAGGGAGGGTCCCAAACTTTGGGACATAAATTCTTTCTATCTGGTCTCACCAAGTTACTTCTAGTGCAGTGGTTCCCAGTCTGGGGCTTACAAGTGACACTTCTATGAAGAAAAAATGAAAATGTAAAGTGAATTGTCTTATAGAACGATGGCCAAGTATCAGGGACAGGAAAACACAGGAAAATAGGCCTATTAAGTCTGTGTGATTATTACAAATGATTTTTAAAAAATACAGAATACAGGCAGAGAATATAAAAAGTTCCTGAAACAGGAAATAATCTGCTCTAACTTCATTCAGTTCACTATTCGGGTTAACTGTACAGTTTTGAATACAATATGAAATATCCATACTAATATATCACTCAGTCAGGGGTCGTCAGTGTACTAATGATAGAAAAGAGATCCTTTAATGAAGAATGTTGGGAACCACTGATCTACTGGTTTCTTCAGCGCGCTATGACAAACAGAATATCTTTGGGCTGTTGACAAAACAAGACATTTGAGGACGTCAGCTTTGGCTTTTGGAAACACTGATAAACATCTTCTCAATTTTCTGACATTGAAATTTTATGGATCAAACATATACTGTATATAGCAGTTTAAATGTTGCCAGTTATCATTGTTGTAAATCCACTATGTTCTTGGGTTTCTTGAATAGCCTACATATAAGTTACAATGAAGATTTATCAGATTTATAAAATGAGTGTTAGAGGAGCATCCAAATAACTGCTCCAAATCCATTTAAACAGGTATGTCTCTGAGGCCATGCAGGTGGTGTACGTGGCACTTTTCATTTAGGGGATTATTTTATGACACGAGGTACTACTTAGGTATACTTAGAGCCACAATGTGCAGGATGTGAAAATGTCTTTCTTTGGTGCCATCAATAACACCATGGCTGGCAGCAGTGCAAACCACTAAATGTTCTGTTTTTAAAAATCACTCACAGTCTAAATGTATTTATAAAGATACACAGTGGACACATTCAGTACAGAATTGCTCTATGTTATATCAGTAACAATGGCAACAAAAATGTGTTGAATTATGTATATATATTATGATGTGACCTTTTTTTTTTTTTTTTTTCAACATGTCAATGTTTAAGAGCCACATTTTAGCCTAAATATGACAGTGTGGCTTATTTTTTCAAATTAAAATGCTTAAAAAGTAATCTACTCCTTCGACAAAACAGCCTTCTAGTGTCAACACACACGCAAATCCAACCTTAGGAACAAGAAGAAAAACATATTTTTTTGTAGAGGATGATTGAAGAATGAAAAAATCAGAATTTGTGAAAAAGCTTTTTTCTTTAGCATGTTTTACCTCTATTACACCCCTATTCCCAGCTACATAAAACCTTTTCTGTGCTTTATGTCTGAAATGTTTTTGCTTTTTGTCTCACAGGTATTGCCCTGGGTTTTGTTCTCAAGATCTGTGTCCACATGACCGAACTCCACCAACTCTACATCGGCTTTCCAGGAGAATTACTCATGCGAATGCTTCAGGCGGTGACCATTCCTCTCATTGTTACAAGTGTGATAACAGGTCAGCCGCAGGACAATTTCTGACACTGTTACATTAGGTTATACATGTTATATATACACAGCATTTGAAAGAAACATACTGTGGTTTGGCAAGTTAAACCTACCACAAGACCATCAGCGATTGAGACAGCTGGTCGAGGCAGACGACCACCCACCCAGAGCCGAAGGGTCTGTCCTAGGTTTCTGCCTTTTAACAGGCAGTTTTTCCTTGCCCTTGTTGCCAAGTGCTTGCTCATGATGGTACTGTTGGGTCTCTGTCAACAATGTTATAAGGAGTTCGGTCTAGACCTGCTCTATTTGAAAAGTGTCCTGAGATAACTTCTGTTATGAATTGGCGCTATACAAATAAAATTGAATTGAATTGTGAGAATTGGATATTTCTATATTGTAATTGCCTGCAAATGCAACAGATTTGGTTGGATTCCCCTTGAAATCAATGAAACAAGGCGGTGGAAACACTACTGTTTCTGTCGACAAGTTCCTTGTTGCGGTTTTAAGTGTACTAAACCTACATGTGGCGTGTATCGAGTCTATGTATTTGAGCAACAGTGTGTTTTATTGCATATGAATTCAACATTTTATTTGTAAAAGGAAAAAAGTATTTGTTTTTGCTGAAGTTACATAGGCTTGCTTTAAGGTCTTAAAATGATGATTACTTGCCTTTTAAAACACTTTTATGTTTTTTGAAAACAACATCATTGACTTGTGGTCTTCTTCTTGTCCTTAATTGGCAAACAGCTAACTTTATGAGACATTACTGCCCCCAACTTTAGTGGGACCATTTCTTTGTCAGAAAGTCATCTATTATGTGCTCTGTGGATTTTTCAGTGTAACTGGAACATTGTGTCTGGAAGGACGAGGACTTTTTGTGAACAGCACCTTTAGCATCTGATCTTCTGATCCTCTTCTAAGGCTGTCAATAATGGCTTTATAGTGTGCTGGTGTTCAATTGTAACTGCCATTACAGAAGTGCATATATTGTCACATATCTTTGAATACTGACAAAACATTACCTTATGTTTCGGGTTTTTCGGAAGGACACAAACTTTCTGTGTAAAATACAGAACATTGTCTGGCTGAGGTAAATGAAACTAAAGCCAGATCACAGAGTGAGTGAAACTTCAGCTCTCAATAAGCTTGATTGTATACACAGGATGTTTATGTGTACGACACTGTACTATGTGATATGCATACCCCACTTAACTCTCTACATTGTCTTTTTCCTGTCTGGTTCTTATTTCTTACTGTTTTTTATTTTTATGTATTGTACGGTGTTCCTCGAGTGCCCAGAGAGGTGCCTTTAAATAAAATGTATTATTATTATTATTATTACTGTCTACACATTTTCAGGAGCTGAAGATCATAAAGGTCACAGAGATTTTATATTATATATTATAGTTGTCCAGTAGAAAAATCAAAGGTGTTTAGGTTGTGTAGCATAGGTAATGGTTATTAATTGTTAAAAGTTTGACACAAGCATAAAATTGTTCTAACATAGATCATATTTCATTCATGTCTTAGTAAAATCATATAATCCATTATGAATTAGTTAATATAGTATATTACCACCGAGTAAATGTCTGGCACCAGCATTTTGCAATGTAACAATGGCATCTCAAACAACACACCTAAACTTGTTATTCCTGAGATGTAATTGTCTTCCCTATCTACTTAAACTACATCACCCTTTTGTAACACTCATCTCCTTCCTTTAGTCTGCTGACTGTAGCTTATGTTGTTGTTTTTTACAGGAGTTTCTGGTCTAAGCGTTAAAACCTCCAGAAGAATTGGTTTACGTGCAGTGATATACTTTGTCTCAACCACTTTTCTGTCTGTTTGTACAGGTAAGATAAATACTGTACAACAGTTTTTATTTCGAACCTTGCCTTTCTGTTGATGTACGTACAGTATATGCAGGGTCGGGTAGTGACAGATTACATGTAACAGTGAGTTATGCAATCAGGATACAAAAAAGGTGACTGTTACAGTTACAGAAAATGAGTCGTAATCAGATTACAGTTACATTTTGCAAAACTATCAGGATTACAATTTTATATAATACCATGCACACGTGCAGCGCACTCACATTGTAGCACTTCACAAGTCTTGCAACGCCACTCTGGTCTGTAACCCAGAAGTAACTGAAAGTAATCTAGTTACATTACTTGAATATTTGCATCATGTTACTGACTACATCTTTTTTTCATTGGCATGTGTAAATGTGCTATTTAAAACTCACTCACTGGTAATTTTAATACAGCTATTTTAACCAGATACTAAATTTAATGATTTCCTTTAAAAATCTAAAATGTTTCTAATACATCAGGAAAAGCACTAATTATTATATCTCAGTGAGCGATCATGTGCAACACAAGGGTCAATGCACTTGTTATTGATTGTGTTGTCGATGGTATAATTATGTGATGTCACCAAGCAATAAGAATGATGAAGGTGAAAAACTGATTTACAAACAAAAATTAAAAGTTAAATAAAAATTCAAAGTAATGGACAATACAAACCTATGATACCTCTGGCTCATATTGTATAAGAGCTATAGCATACAGGCTGTTTTTTTCTTGTTATGTTGTGTGTTGCAGGGTTGATACTGGTACTGCTGATCAAGCCAGGAATTGCTTATGCTGTTAAAAAAGATGATGACGAATATGAGGAGGCCTTCTCAACTGTCGATGCCTTGTTGGATCTAGTAAGGTAAAAGGAAAGTGTGCATTCTGACGTGATTTCTGTTTTCTTTCTCGAGTATTCAGTTCAGCAAGGTTTTTAAGTCAGTCAGTGCAATTTCACAAAGTGCTGGAAACTAGAAGTGAATTCAAATCACTTATGTTCCTTTAGAGTCACATCCATTTATGTCTTTCATATGCAAAAATAATTCTGTATGTCTAGTTTTCTACCAAGTTACGCAAACATCCAGCAAATGTCAAATCATCCTTAATACGGCTGTATTTCCTGTGTGGTCTGCTCACTGCTAGTATGATTTTTGTATATTGTTTATAGAAACATGGTCCCAGACAACTTGATTCTGGCTTGCTTTAAACAGGTATGTTTTTCATTAAGGCATACAACAGTATATACTACTCATTTCCAGGGGCGTTCCCAGAAGGGAAAGGGGGTCTGATAGGCCAGCCCATTATATTTACCTCTTCTTTGTGAATGAAAATTAGTTCTTCTCTTTGCAGACATGCCCACTTTATGCTAATCCCATGTAGATTTTGCGCACAAAAAAAGTGTTATTTTCATCTAGTGTATATGAATATGTCTGCATGCTGGGGTCCATGAACAGAATTTTAATGGCATGGAATGACTGGGAACCTGATACATACTTGATGCCACCCCTGCATAAGTCAGTGCCCCACCTGTGACCTCCCAGTCAAAGGAAGTCTGGAAACGCCCATGCTTATTTCTTCTCTTTCCATGTAATGTTTATGATCTGAAAACTAATTATTATTTTTGTATTATAGTACCATAGTGAGAGGATAGAGATGGGAAATGAAGAAGATGAACACAATTCTAGCCTGGCAGTAAATATTTCCTCTAATTTGTCTCTATGAAGTTTATTATGTGAAGTTTACATTTTCCAGTGATAATCTTGGACCATGATTCTTAATGAGCTTTTGGTCTTGTTACAGAATTTGACAGAAGTGCAAGTGGTGGGAAGCTATGTTGAAGGAACCAACATACTGGGCCTGATTGTCTGGTCTTTTATTCTTGGCGTGATCCTCAACAGAATGGGAGAAAGTGGCAAAGCGCTTGTGGAGTTTTTGACTGTCCTCAACGAGGCCACAAAATGTATGGTCGACTTGATACTGGGGTAAAGTGAAACAACACACCATAATGAAAGAAACATACCTGGTTTCTTAAAAACCGTCTCTACTAACTAAGTCAGTTGAAGCATTTTCCATTATATTTTTCATTTCATCATTTTCTTCCAGCTACTTGCCAATTGGAGTGCTGTTCCTGATTGCAAGCCATGTTGTGGAGGTTCACGACTGGGAAACTACCTTCAAACTCGGAAAGTTCATGGTAGTAGTTATTACTGGGTATGTTCACCTTTACTGTTGCTTGTTTTTTGACAGTCATTACCAAATGATTTACTAGTCTTTATGTGCAGGGATTTAATGGTTTCTGACTCTCTAAAGGTCTAGTGTGTAACATTTAGGAGGATCTATTGTGACAAATGGAGTATACTATTCATATGTGTGTGTTTTCATTAGTGTATAATCACCTGAACATTAGAACTGTTGTGCTTTCATCACCTTAGAATGAGACGTTATCTACAGAGTCCGCCATCATGAACCACTATGTGGCCCTGAATGGACAAACCAAACACTGGCTTCAGTTTTTTGCATTTTCCGCTCCCCCTGTAGATAAAAATTACTCATTCTAATATAACGTAAACACGATTCTTATTTTCAGGTGAAACACACTTACTACAAAAACACAATGATTCCTATATTCAGGGGATGAAAACATTGTATTCCATTTCTGCCAATAGATCCTCCTAAATGTTACACACTGGTCCTCCTACCTAGCAGTTACATTATGAATGCAAACTCTTGTTGTTTGATTTAATCTGTGTTGATCGTGCACTCATTGTGTGTTTCAGGCTTATAATCCATGGAACAATAACTCTACCACTGATGTATTTCCTGGTAACAAGAAGAAACCCCCTTGCTGCTATCAAGGGGTTTTCTCCTGCCTTACTGACTGCATTGGTCATCTCGTCTAGGTGAGATGGTGGAACAGTGTCTACAAAAGTAACATTTTTGAGAGATCTACATTTAAAATTCGTTGTGTTTCTTCAAGCTCTGCCACACTGCCACTTACTTTCCAATGTTGCGAGGAGCGACTGAAGTTCGACAAAAGAATCACTCGCTTCATGCTGCCCATCGGAACCAATATCAACATGGATGGGACTGCCCTTTATGAAGTGGTGGCAGTAGTTTTCATCGCTCAGCTCAATCACATCGAGCTGGACCTGAGCCAGTTGATTACTCTTTCGTAAGCCGCTCTTCCTGTTCTTTAGGAAATCCCAGCATCGTGTTAATTTTAGTTAAAAGTATATAATACGAGATCTTTAAAAGGAAGTGACTTTGAAAATGCATGGTACTGTTTTATGTTACTGTATCTGTGTTTGATCTGCAGTGTGACATCAGCAGTGTCCAGTATAGGAGCAGCAGGGATCCCAGCTACAGGAGCAGTGACCACTCTCTTTGTTTTGACTGCGATTGGTCTACCTGCGAAGGAGGCCACCATTCTGGTTGTTATAGAATGGCTCCTGTACGTTTAATCTGTTGTTCAGAGCTAGAAATGGGTGCAAGTTGTCTTTAGATTACTACAGCTGCCTTTTTCGTTTTTGGGTTGGTTTGTGTCAGGGAAACATCTGTAGCACCGTCCAATCAAAAACAATCAGCTATGTAAACTGGATGTCACTGTAGCATCACAAATGATAGCTGAACTTTCAAGTATAACAGTTTTAGAAGGCCAGGGGATAAGTTATTTTGAGGTTACCTAACTAATGTTACCTGTTAATTCAGTCTGATGATATTAACGTAAGATTTTTTAATTTGAGGTATATTGTGTAATTTCTCTGAAACATTTTGTACACAATACACAATTTATTTGAGAACTTTAATTACTTCACAAACAAAGATTTCACACAAAAAACATGAAGTTAATAAAAAATACAGTGATTTGTTAATCATACGGCACGATTAATTTATTTGTTGATCACTGTAATGCGATATTATTTGAACAAAAAACAAATGTTGAAACAGATTACATCAAACATTTTAAGTACCGCAAACTCAGTTGTGTAAATTGCAGAAAGATTATTGATTAAGTATTTTTTTCAGTACTCAGTGTCACTTAAAATTACTAAAACTACTTGTTCAAGAAAGTTAACTTAAAAAAATTACGTTTTACTAAAATCACATTTTCTATGTAATTAGTTTCAACAATTTTTTAATAAATAAACATATGAGGTTTTACAGTGATTGATAAATCATTTCAGTAATCATTCCTTTTTCACATGCTAAACATTTCATGGTTTCAGCTTCTCAAATGTGAGGATTTTTTGCTTTTTCTTTGTAATTGCTCATTTTCGTTATAAACAATGTGAAGGTGTCACGTTGGGCTCTGGGTAATTTTGACAGGCATTTCTCACTATTTTATTTGTATTGGAGTATTTTCACAGAATGGCATCAGTACTTTTGTTAACGTAAAGGATCTGACCACATTCTCCACCACAGTAAAGTTAAAAGCATTACTAAATAGAATTTTGATCATGTGTCAGGTCACATTACCTTTTTTTTTTCTTCATGCTAAACTGGGGATATATTGGCAAGCTAATGTACATTATGTCTGTCAGTTCAGTCAGAGACACAACACTTACACCTGGCAGTTATTATCATGTAGCAGTAACCTACGAGCTTGTTTGTGTGCTGCAACCAGCTTCCAGTCTCCACATAGTAAACATTATAACTAGGTTTGCAGCCTGGTCCTGATCAGCTGTAAAGAGACAACATTTTAGAAGTATAAAGAGTTCAAACAAACAAATTCAATCAGTGTAAAGCAGCATGTATCCTCTGCTTTCAGAGACCGCTGCAACACTGTTGTCAATGTCATGGGAGACTGCATCGGCGTGGCCCTCATTCACCAAGTGTCAAAGAATGAGCTGGCAGAAATGGATGAGCAAGTACGGGAAATGGCAAGGTACAAAGTCTAGGTGGTCTTGATGTTTTTCAGCGTGGTAGCGGGAATCTGCTCCCTGTAATAGTCTAATTTGCCGATCTTAGTCACATCTGCATGAGATCGGACACACTGGTCTTTTTCCACCACTGATGACCGTGTTGTGCTTTGCCCGGCTAGGATGCGTAGCAGTGATGATGAAAGCCTCTCCCCAGATGAGATCCAGGTCCGCATCAGAAGCCAGGACTCTGATGAAGACATCCTCTACACAATGTCAGAATCACCCCCCTCAGACGGTGATGGAGAGGAGCACAACGAAGGCCAGTTCAGTGAGGACTCTTGTCCTGGGTTCTTGTACAGCCAGCTTGAATATCCCCCAATCCCAGACAGGATGTACAAGTAGTGTTAGCTCAGACTGAACCGAGAGAACCACAATGAACTTTCTCTTTAATATGTTATTGTTTGTAATGATTTATTTTGCATCACACTTATTTCATTTTATATTAGTAATGTAGTTGCTTATGATAGTACCAGTTATAGTCTAGTTATTTGAATTGAATTGAGCTGAACTGAACTGTATGAAATTCATTTTAATTGTATGAATGTAACAGATGAACTGTAGTTATTAAACTGAATTTAAGTGATGTAATATATGTGACTGAATTGAACTGGATTTATTTCAGTGTTTATTGGGGAATAAATATTAAAGAAACTGCTGCCATGTATTTCAGTACCTGTGAGGACATTGACATAAAGGTGTATTTTGATTTTATTTACACCAAAAATATTGTTTTTAGATTTATTTTTAAATTATTGTACAAGGAAGGAAATCTGAAACTATGTATTAATGCTGTTGTAGTGTGGGGCGTCCCCATGATTTGGGACGCTGACCATGAGCTAGTGTCCCCCATTCAAGCTCGTCCAGGGACCTTTGTTGTATCTCTTCCATACAAATACTGGTTAATTTAAAAATTGACTAGTAACTTCAGAGTATCAGAATATACTTTAATAATCCCGGGGGGAAATTGTTATGTATATTTATATATAGATGTAATGTGTTATATAGATTTTTAAATAGATAAAGGTAAGGTAAAAAAAAAAAACTGCGACATTTCCCTCTGAAATGTATTCTAGTAGATATATGAAGTGTCATCAAATGTAAATACTCACATTAAGTAAAAGTACCTGAAAGGGGCTCTGAAGTAAATATTCTCACATGTTGTCACTTTCTACCACTGAAGCCAGAAACGGTTACATTCATTTTAGAATTGTACTTGTGCAGAATCTTTGTGGAAAGATCTAACAATATAACTGATAACATTTCCCTGACTTGTTAAATAATATATAAATATTTGAGAGAATGTTATTTTTGCCTGTTTTCTTGAAAGAAGTTCTCTGGTGGAAAGTGAGATAGGACACTGTGTTAAAGGAAGAAATGGAAGAGAGGATGTAGTTATATCTAGATTCAGGTTTGATCACACTGGTTTGAATAAAACACTGTGTTTACTGGGTGTGGTAAATTCACAGGTATAAGTGCATTGTAACAGTAAGCGTAATTAATGTTGAACATGTAATACTGCACTGTATCAAATACACTGAGGAGAGTTTACAACAGAAGGTGAGAGAGGCTGGGCTTGGATGGGGTTTAGAAGGGATATAGGTCCAATGAAGAGAAGGTGTGGGAAGATTTAATAATAATCGTTTAGTAGAATATATGGTTGTTGTTTAATTATTATTATTTGTTTATTTTGTTCATAGACTAATGTAAACTTAACTAGAACCGGTTCTACATACCCCGGTACGGTAGGTGGCGGTATACACCTTGGATTGAGATTGCAACACGCCAAAAAAAAAACAAAAAGAAGAAGAAAAAGAGTTCCTTCAATGGACTGAGGGGGGCAGCGTTTCACCCGCCCGCCGGAATTTCAGCAGCAGAAGAAGAAGAAGAAGAAGAAGAAGAAGAAGACGAAGAAGACGCGGGACGTGTTCCCCTGGTTACTGCAATGTTAGCTGCATGTTGTTGACTGTGAATAAAGTGGCCATAACATGATTTCTAGCTCGCCAGTAAACACTGAAACTTAACTCGTGTAGGAAGGAGACGTTGCCGCGTAAGTTAGCCTCTCTCTGATGTTATATCTCTGATAACAGCTAGCTGTTAGCCACAGAAGTTTCTGTCAACATTAGCTCCCATGCTAACGTTAGTGCGGGGCTTTGGTTCATGTAGGAGTGTGTCGTTGTGTGTTTCTGCCCCTGTCAGACACGGAGGATGAAGGTGAAGATCCGACAGTGGAACGGGGTGGCCTCTTGGTTGTGGGTGGCCAACGATGAGAACTGTGGGATCTGTAGGATGCCCTTCAATGGCTGCTGCCCGGACTGTGAGTATCCGAGCTAGCGTTAGCGTTATGGTACAGTGTGTCTGACTCATGGTGGCTGCTGACTGCTGTTGATGTGACAGATTGTTAACGTGACTGTTGTGTCGTGTTCTTCTGTACATTTCCTACTAAAATAACCGTACTTACAAACACAGCAGGGAGGAGGTCAGCATAGAAGGACGCATACGCTGTTGAAATGAGGAGATAAACACAAATATAAGGTCGTTATTGTAGTAAAATCCCTTTGATTACATACTTAAGGTGAGATACTACAGGCAAAACGACATTTTCTGTCATGCACTGGTCAGATTTCACCATTTTTACCTGGTTATGGGCAGGTGTGACTTCACTTAATCCTTTACTCACTCTACAAATAAATGTACTGGATAAAAAGCCCTGGCATTGTCATCTAAATATTTATAATTCCTCCTCTATTCTGATGCATATGTTTAAAATACTCAGAATCTTGCTCCCCCTGCTCTCAGAGGATGCCTGACACCTCTGTTATTTTATTCACAGCTTTAATCTGTTGACACAAAATGCTATACTCGAAATCTCAAGTTTATCATAAAATCACTACATTGCGTGTTTAATGACTGAATTTTAATTATTGTTCTATTTTAAAATAAGTTGGTCATTATCAACTAATACAGAAACTAATTCTCATCAAAAGTATCAATTTCCTCTAAAGTTATACAGACAGTAGTGGAAATAAGTGGGTGTACTTTAAATGATGTAGAATCAGAAAGCATTAGAGTGCTGCGCAAATATCTGTCAGTCAGCCAGATTTACTTTCCTTCATGAAGCAAAATGACAATCGCCAAAACTGTCAGTCTGTATGACGTCATGTTTATTCCTAACCTAACTGAAATGCAACAACGTATCATTTTTTTCCTTGGTTTGGAGCAAATGAACCAAACTACACTTGTAGAAGCACCCTAGTTAGCCATGCAGTGCTGCTAACTAGAGTAATGTTTTTAAGAAATGTTTCGCTGTATCCTCAGCACTGAGCGTGTGATTTAGTGTTGCATGCGAGGACATTGTTTGTGAAAACTGAGCAAAAGGATTCATAACATAGAGCAACTCCAACACTTAGTTTTTACTTGACAGGTCTTTAACTTATTGGTCTATACGTGCACGCTTGAGGCATGTCTTTAGAGACAAAATAAATCTACATCTTTGTAAAGCTAGTTACAGTCGGTTGGAAAACTACTCAGAAAATATAAATGCGAACATGTAATGATGCACTAATAATAATAATAATAATAAAAAGTGATGTAAATTTCATTACACTCCTCTAAAATCCTGTTATAGCTGGTATTTTCATATATAATAAATAGTTTCATATTCATTACATTTAGTACATGAAGTGTAACAGTGAAACTGTAATGACGCAGTAATGAAGGCATAATACACAGTGTATGTCCTCAATTGCCATTTCCATTCTTTTCTCATTACCTCTACTGAGTTGTAATACGAATCTAAAAAATGATTTTGCAGGTAAAGTGCCTGGAGATGACTGCCCGCTGGTCTGGGGTCAGTGCTCTCATTGTTTCCACATGCACTGCATCCTGAAATGGCTGAACTCGCAGCAGGTCCAGCAGCAGTGCCCCATGTGCCGACAGGAGTGGAAGTTCAAGGAGTGAACCTGTGTTGGCGGCGCTGCAGTACGCCTGCAGACACTCACAGGCGCCTGCCGATGGGTTTTATTTTTATATCAGCTGTAAATAAGTGTTATTGTATTTCTCCATCTGATGGAACAACCTGTTATATTCTGTTGACAGATCTGGTATGTGATTAAAAAAAACCTAAAAAGGGATGCCGCTTGCTTTGCATGGTACATGTGAGTGGTGTGGTTGAGTGGTTTTTAAACATATGACCCAGATTTCAGTGTGAGGCTGACTGATTCTGACTGTAATCCCTCTTGATGAGATTAACCAGGTTGTTTTGTGTTTCCAGTAATGAGCCTTAAGAGGCTCTTAAGTAGTTACATCAGAGTCAAATCCTCTTCTTTCAAATTTGGGTGATATTTTTTTGTGGGTTTAACTTTGAAAGTTCCCAATTTCATAATACACATACACTTTGTTGAAAAGAAATGTTGCGTTGTGCAGTTTTAAGTTGCTAATTTCTTCTCCATCTCTTAACACAGCTGGCCCAATTGAACAGCAGGGATTTGATGCTAGGAATTTTGAATCAAAGTTTTGCCTTAGAGACCTGTATGCAGTATGGAGGACAACTTGTTGAAACCAACACATCATGATATCCCCATTCTAAATGTTGCAGAAGATTTTATCTTTAAAGGTCCAGTGTGTAACATTCAGGAGGATCTATTGGCAGAAATAGAATATAATATTCATAGCTATGTTTTCATTAGTGTAGAATCACCTGAAAATAAAGATCGTGTTTTCGTTAGAGTGAGACATTTTTATCTACAGAGCCCGCTTTTTTTGATCTGCCATGTTTCTACAGTAACCCCGAGTGGACAAACCATCACTGGTTCTAGACGGGCGTTTCATGTTTTTCACAAGTTAACATGGCAGCCCTGGCCAGGAGCTGAATGTCATGCTCCTTCAGTTCTTGGGTTTTGCTCTCACACTGAGCTGCGAGATAAAGGAAATAGCAGACAAAATGAAAGCTATCGTCTGATAAACTTTATTTCAAAAAGTATAAAAAACTCATATACAAACAATGAGTAATGAAAAGTCAAAAGCTTGTCAGAAGGCAAGAATAAAAATTGCAAACATTTGCTGGTAAGGCAGTCAACACAAGCCTGTTTGGCTTTGCTAATCTTAGCTTTCAGACAGGCACTAATGAGCTGAGTGGCAACATTAGTTTCACAACATTCAGAAATCCCTAATCCCAGAGATAAGCCAAATAAAATCAACAACTTCAAATCAAATGATTCATTCACTTCACTACAGTGTACAAAGATCTGAAGCTCTGACAGGGTAGAGGCCAGCCCCCACCCGCACAAGTTCACCCCCAACTCAGGAGGCAGCCACCGGGCTCTGTCAGCCCTCCCTCCAACACACATCCACAGTCCTTGAGCTGAGGAAGCTCCAAAATCCGGATGCTGAACTGACATGGCCTTTTCTGTCCATCCCTGCAGAACAGTCAGGTGACTGGGCAGTAGACGTTTGTGGCTTTAAGAAGCCAGATGTTCTCAGTCGTTGACCGCCAGCCCGAAGAGCTCAAGCAGCTCCTTGTTGTCTGGCTCAATGAGGTCTGCCGGCTTCTCCCCGCAGTCGTTCTCCAGCTCGGGGTCGGCACCCAGCGAGAGAAGGAAGCTGAAAGAAACACAAGACAACCCCGCTCACTAAAAGAGGTCAAATCTCGCCGCTCTGCCACTTTGGCAAACTCAATGCGGGTCTGTGCCATACTTCAGTGTCAGTTAGGTCAATGAGGTGCAAGAATGCAGCAGATCCTCCAGCTTCTCTTACCTCTGTGGTGTAGGAGAGCTGCAGAGCCAATGTGTGTCTACGTGTGTGTGTGTTGGTATGTGCTTTCAAATGTGTAAACATGTAATGCCAGCTGCCTTTCTACTGGCTACATTTTCAGAGAAATTAGAAGTGTCATCACCTAGTGGCACCTTCAGCGTTTTACCTCTACAGCCTTCTGTCAGTCAGTCTGTTGTAGCATTTATCAGGTTAACAGTTCAGCAGAAGTTACACAGTTTGATTGTCTGGTGACTGCTCTAGTTGGTCTAATACAATAGAAAGAGTAGATGCTCACCGTGCAATGTGTGGGAAGCCGTCGCTGCAGGCCATGTGCAGTGGGGTCCAGCCCTCCTCGTCTCTCTGGTGTATATCTGCTCCATAGTGGACCAGCAGCTTTACACACTCCAGGTTCCCAGAAAGGACGGCTTCGTGGATGGCAGCCATGCCTACACAGAGAGCGCAGTGACAAATAACCACCAGTGCAGCACAGAATAATGTCTGGGGTTTAATAAGAAAGACTTTTCAACCACTGAAGCCTCGATCAGGGTGATGTATAAGTTTCATGGGCTCTTACCAGAGTGGTAGATGGTGTCCAGGTTGACTCTTCTGGCTCTGATGAAAAGTCCAATCCTCTCCAGCTCGCCATGTCGTACGTAGTCCTGGAAAACGATGTCGTTGGGAAAGTGCACGTTGCGGATCTTCTTCAGAGAGGCAGAGTTCTTGCAGCTGACTGGGACACCACAGTCCTCGGGGTAAGTGTTGAGTTCCATGGTCTGGGACACGGGGCACTGATAATACTTCATCCTGGTATAGTAGATTTTTCCTGAGCTCTTGCAGAAAAAAATGGTCAAATCCAGCAACACCTTCACAAAAAAGTTAAGACTGTTTTTCCTCAAGTCTTTGTTTTTGGCTCTCTTGCTTTCCAGTGGGTCTGTTCCTCTGAAGACCAAGCCTCCCTGTGGCCCTCTTTATACTCTCTGTCAGGCTATTTTAGGGCGCAGCACCTCACAGATACAGTGGCGAGATTTGGAAGATGAGTTGCCCTTCTGGTCGGATCCCTCCCACTGGCCTGTCACAAGCCTCTGATACATCTCCAGACATGACAGCCAGTAACCTCTGCCTCTGTTGTCACCCACACATACCCAGATGCTTCTCTCTTAAAGATAGCAGTGACATCCCGAGATGAGAGGAAGGGGGGGGCTAGAGGCTTCTAGTAAACACCATGCAGGATAAAAGTGGTTCATTGCTGGAGTGCGTCTATGCCAACTGCGGGGCATGGAGAGGTGAAGTGCCATGTGTAGGCTGTTGACCATTAACTGCACTGACATAAACAGACGAGAAAGGCTGCTGTCTTCAGAGTCATACTCTATCTTAATCGCTGATGTGAGACACAGGATGTGTGATGATCATTTCCAAATGACTGAATGCTTTGCCTCATCCTCTGTGACTGGTGGAGATTTGATAATGAACATTAAAAAAAGATAGTTTGAAGTACCACAAATTAATTGTGGGGTTGTTTTTTTTTATATTTATGGGAAAGTTGGGGAATTGACTGTACATTTTTGTTTGCCTTAGTGATTAGATTGTCATGTCAAACAGGAAAAATCTGTAATCTTATACTAATGACAGGAAAAAAAACTGGCTGTTCTTGAGTATTTTACAACTTTTAAGCCATTAGGTATTAAGTGTTTCTTCACTCTGGTTTTACTCCTGGTAGTGTGGAGCAGTCAGTGAATAAAGAAAATATGAAAAATCCATATAATGTTACTAACTTTTTAGAGGCTTTATTTTTGGTGAAAATATTCTGAGGGGAATAGGGTTGCACTGAGGGGGGATTCCTGGCTACAGCCCTGAATGTAGACCGCAACAAGAGTCTACAGCCGCCCTAGCAGCTAGCAGCAGTAAGTAGAAGTTTGAATCCAGTTCAACCATCCAAGCATGAAATGCTAAAGGTCCAGTCTAGAGCCAGTTTTGGTTTGTCCATTCTGCAATTTGAAGAAGTCACTTTGGGCTCTGGGAACTTGTAATGGGCATACCTGACATGTTATACATTAAAAATGACTGTTTTTGAGCCAACTTAGATCTTCAGTATCACTATAGCTACACTGTTTCAGAATCACAGTGCACACATTCTTGCTCCCTTTTTCTCTTAGAACTTATACTCATCTCTGCAGAGACAGTGGTTTAGGTTGTCTCAACCTCATAATATACCTCTCCCATAAGCTCACATGCAGCTTGCAAGTCTAGTTTATCACGCTCACTATAAACCCAATTAATGATAAAATAAGTGTAATGGCATTTTCCCTTCCACAGCTCATCAAGGGTCAACCTGAAGGAGCACTCAACAAAAAAACAAAACAGTAGACAAACATTGTTTTGTAATTTTTGTTTATTGGCCACCATTTCACGTTTTCCACATCAATTTGGATATGATGGAATGCTTTGTTAAGTTTCCCCCACCGCTGTACAGCTGTCAAACCCATCACCTTGCTCTACTCAAACCTCCCCTCCCTGCCAGACACGCAGTACATTCATTCTCCTGTTCATGGACGACCAGAAAATATGAACATTTCATACAACTCATCGCACAGCAATTTTTACACCATGCACACAGCATGCACACGCGCACACACACACACACACACACGCCCACACACACACACACACCGCACACACACACACACACACACACACACACACACACACACACACACACACACACACACACACACACACACACACACACACACACACACACACACACACACACACACACAAACACACACACCGCTGTGGCAACAAGGGTGTTGGGTAGAGCCAAAAGGGATGCAGGAGGTACAGTATGGGTGAGGGGTGGGGCTGTGCAACGGTTCCCTCCCCGCTTTAGATATAATAGACACTTCTCTCAGACCAACCTGACCAAGTAGACTGTACCAATCTCTGTCTGCTTTAGTAACCACAATGAATCTCTGATTAGGCATGAATGCAGTGCGACCTATCAGAACTGGCTCAAAAAAAAAAAAAAAAAAAAAAAAAAAACCCCATCCCAGGTCTGAGAGTGTGTCCAAGGGCCAACTCTGCCCCAACAGGGCCAACTGGCTATAACTGGGCACAACGGTACATCATTAAAAATGACAAGTTCTAAGTTAAAAAACAAAAAAACCTCATACTGAAAGCAATTAAATAAAATAGGATTTCCCCCCCAAAAAAGTTAACCTTTGTTCCTTTTAGAAAATAGTCAGTAGCCACGCTTAAATGAGGAGACTGAACTTAAAGATTATTTGGGAATGAAGAAATTAAAACAAAGTAGACTTCCCCCCTACCAAAAGAAAGAAAAGAATTGGTCTCAGCTACAGATGGGAGGGGGGCTCTTTGTGCTACACTGGAGTGGACAAGCTTTGTGGGGTTTATTTTAGTGAAGACATTGCAAAATAAACGTGTATACGATGGCCCCTTGTCCCCTGAGAGATCAGTCCTTACAAAACCACCACACAAAACTCTGTTCCTCTGGATTTCTATCAGAGGGTAAAGAACATTGGCAGCCCCCCCTTACCTACAAATACAGGTTACAACACTCATTTAGCTCATACCCACACTGAACAATGGCAAGGCTTTTTTTTTTTTTTTTTTTAAAGGAGGAGGGGAGCCAATTCATCAGGGGAACACAAACATTTTGAAAACTGGATCTCAATGCCATTTTTACATTTGGTTTAAAATATACAAGGCAAACAGCTGATGTAGAGCTTTGTAAAGAAGGCATTCAGGTCTCCCGTAGAGGTGGTGCGCTGTTCCAGAGTCCCCCCAGGTGGGACAAGACCAGTCTGGCCAGAAGTTGCGAGGTTGGCTGTGTGGGTGGCAAAAAAGGCCCTGCCGCGCCACTGATGGACTGACTGACTAACTGGCGGGCTGGCTAGCAGGCCAGCTGACTGACTGACTGACTGAGAGGCAGTTAAAGGGGAAGTATTAATGTTCACAGGACAGGGAAGGTCCACAAGGAAGTGAAGGTGGTGATGGTGACTTGTTGGAAGGGTTGGGGTGGGACTCGTCTCCTCTCTCTCTCTCTCCCCTCTGCCAGCTCTTACAACTCGTCATGTCCGTCGTCGTCCTCACCATCAGAGTCCTCGTCCTGTCCTTCATCCACATCATCCAAATCCTGTAGAGCAGAGGAGAGGGTGGTTGGTTAACACAGAATCAGACAAGCATGCAGCTCTAGTTTGTGGTGAATATGCGCTAAACTAGACTTTCAAGCCAGTCTGAACAAATGAAACCAGTCGTCACTCTGCAGAATGTGTGAACAACACTGCTCTGCATTTAGATGACATCATCGTTTTGCACAGCCATTCCTTCACGTCTAGTCTGAGGATAGGTGGGGTGAGGAGATGGGGTTGGGTGAGGAGATGTGTCAGAAGGCCCTAATGTTGACTGCAGCGCTGCACGTGCCACTTTCATCTGGAGGTTCCAGGCAAAGCCCAGTAAACAGCTCCGACAGCTGCAGACGGCTTAAGTGGACAGCATTCAGCTGGGCTGCAATTAGACTTCTGAGAAGGGGGGAGTGGTGGGCAAATAGTAGAGTGGAAAGGTGCTAGTACAGAGGGTCCCTCCTAATGTGTGCTGGGTGCAGCAGAGTTGTAACACACAGGAATGTGTTGGTAGAACTGGTCAAAGCTCAACATGCATCCTCTGCATCTTTAACCAGGATGTGGTGGAGAGTTTCTCATTGATTAGCTTTGCTTATTGTCCAATTTAAAATGTTGCACCTGGGTTAAGTTTGGGAAAGGTGTAATATTACTTTCATACTTGTCTCTGGCTACTCAACCTTGAGACCTTATGTATAATACTTGCTTTTGGTTTAGTTATGGTACCCCCCACCTCACAACAAAGCCAAGGGAGTCAAATCTAAGGTCACTAAGGCCTAAAATCCTCACAGGAGTTGGTCCTGTAAACCTATTTTGGGTACAGTCATGACACCAAATCTGCCTCCAAAAAGCAGTTTCGATGAGAGACGTGTGCATTCACATGAATCTGATGTCTTTACTTTCACATATGAAGACTCCACTCCAATAACATTATATTCAAATAATATCAAGAGGAATAATACACAGGTTATTGACTATGATATGGGGAGGCATGTTCTGTCTCAACATGTTACACTTAAAGTTGTTTCGAATAAAGAATAACAGTTTGAGTAAGAAAGATTCCTTCTAAACAAATTATTCATGGAACTCTAGAAAAAAAGATGACAACAGTCAGCCTCTAAATCCTCACACTGCAGCAGCTGTTGTTCTTGTTTTAGTCACTGCCATTTCCCTCATTTATGACTACCTCTTCAATATGAATATGTCCCAACTGGTGGTGGGTACTTGTACACAAACAGAACAAAGCTATACTGAATACACACACCTGGTCTTAACACAGTCCAACAGAGTACTGCATACAAAGTTAGATTTCTGTGTGAGCACACAGATTCTTTTATGTGGTCTGGTACAAGGAGAGCCATTACATCAAGATGAACAGATTAAAGTCTTGATGCATTCATCAAAGCTCAGATAGCCTGAGGGCGTTTAGTTAACAATTCAGACATTTGTGTGCAACTGTTTTGTTTTTACAAAAACATCAAAAAAGGGACAGACCACTGTTTTCACTATTGACCACAGCTTCTTCTCACGAGGCTACAGCCATGCTGTAAAAGCACTGCTTCCTATAAAATGTGTAAATGCATCTCCAGGGTTTCAGCAGGGTACATTTAAGACCTTTTTAAGGCTATTATGAATGCAATTTATTTTATGAATGTATTTTACGTACATACTGGCAAAAAAAAGTGAGAAAGAGAGTAGGTTCCACGTCAGTTTTGTTATGTAGTTTGATCAATACATATTTTGTGCAAAGCCAGACTGAGTATAAAGAATACAACAATTAATCCAATACATTTTAAAATCATATTTACAACATATTAAG